AAAATGTGGCATTTATACACAATGGAGTATTACTCTGCATTAAAAAATGACAAAATCATAGAATTTACAGGGAAATGGATGGCATTAGAGCAGATTATGCTAAGTGAAGCTAGCCAATCCCTAAAAAACAAATGCCAAATGTCTTCTTTGATATAAGGAAAGTAACTAAGAACAGAGTAGGGACGAAGAACAGGAGAAGAAGATTAACATTTAACAGGGATGAGAGGTGGGAGGGAAAGGGAGAGAGAAGGTAAATTGCACGGTAATGGAAGGAGACCCTCAGGGTTATACAGTGGAGGGGGTAGAGAGAGAGGAGGGGAGGGGAGGGGAGAGGTGGGGAGGGGGGAGGGTGGATGATGGGAAAGGCAGCGGAGCACAACAGACACTAGTATGGCAATTTGTAAATCAATGGATGTGTAACTGATGTGAATCTGCAATCTGTGTATGGGGTGAAGGTGGGAGTTCATAACCCACTAGAATCAAAGTGTGGAATATGATATGTCAAGAAATTTGTAATGTTTTGAACAACCCACAATAAAAAATTAAAAAAAAAATAAAAAAAAAAATAAATAAACAACAACAACAACAAAAAAAAACTAGCACTTTGCCTTATATGACCACATGTGATAGGCAGTGTAAGATTGCAGCGACCCCCCTTTTTTTTTCTTTTGGTATGGGGGATTGAACCCAGAGGCACTTTACCATTGAACTACACTACAGCCCTAGATCATTTTATTTCTTATTTTGAGGTAGGGTCTCCCTAAATTGCTTAGGGCCTCACTAAGTTGCAGAGGCTGGCTTTGAACTTGCAGTCCTCCTGCCTCAGCCTCCTGAGTTGCTGGGATTCCAGGTATGCTCCATTGTGCCTGGCTATAGGTACTCCTGATTCCTAAACATTCTTGAATTTTTACCTCTGACCTCCACTCCTCACGTGAGCATGAAGTTGTCCAGGTGTTGCTGGTGTTTTACACTCACCTTCTAGGAGGACCGCATTACCTTCTCCTTCCATGACTTTCTTAGCTACCACATGTCTATCCCCAGCTCCTAGTTGTCTGCTTTTTTTTTTAAAGAGAGAGAGAGAATTTTTTTTATTTTTATTTTTTATTTTTTTTAAGAAAGAGAGAGAGATTGACAGAGAGAGAGAGAGAGAGAGAGAGAGAGAGAGAGAATTTTTAATATTTATTTTTTAGTTTTCGGCGGACACAACATCTTTGTTTGTATGTGGTGCTGAGAATCGAACCCGGGCCACACGCCTGCCGGGCGAGCGCACTACCGCTTGTCCCACATCCCCAGCCCCGAGTCTGCTTTTTTTTTTTTTTTGAGGACATTGATCAAGACTCTTTAAATACAGGATCACTTGTTCAGTACCCACTACCATCTGCAATAAATCCCTTGCTACTCAGGATCTATTAGACCATACCTGCTTCCAGGATCAGGACCATCAACCCATCTCCCTGTTACCAAAGCCATACAGGACTCAAATCCACATGCAAAACACAGCCCTTTCTCACCTTGGGCTTCCTCATTCCATTCCAATTTGTGCTATTTCTTTACTTCTGGGCTCCAGCAGCCAGCACCTGAGAGGACTGGGTAGATCAGTTGGGGTCTCACAGGCATAAGCAGGCCTCCTCTTAGTTCAGCACACTAGAGTGATAGGTCATCAACTTTGCATTGCCTGACTCTTCTGTTTCCCTCACTGTGAACCCAACTCATCTTCAACTGTTCTCTGTCCTCTGATCTGCTTAGATGCTGGGTTTTTTTTTTTTTTAAGTTGTACACAATACTTTTAATTTGTTTATTTATTTTTACGTGGTGCTGAGGATCGATCCCAGGGCCTTGCACGTGCTAGACAAGTGCTCTACCGCTGAACTACAACCCAAAACCTAGATGCTGTTTTTTTTTTTTAAATTTTTTTGTTGTAGTTGTAGATGGGCACAATATCTTTATTTTTATTTATATATTTTTATGTGGTTCTGAGGTTCGAACCCAGGGCCTCATACATGCGAGGCAAGTGCTTTACCACTGAGCTACAACTACTGCCCCTTAGATGCTGTTTTAATCCTGCATCCTTGTGACCAGAAGAGACAACCTGGGGTGGAGAACCAAGCTGTAACTTAAGTGCTGTTGGACTTCCAATGATGCCATGGCTAGATAAGGTCCCTAGTCTGCTGACACAGGTTCAGCCCAGGGAAACAGACATGGAAAACCACTTCTCACTTTCATAGTGTACTTGAGCGGGGGTGGGTTCAAGTTTTCCATCATGTGAAATCTATTTCACCTTTTGGAAGGAGACAGGAGAGGGTGATAGCAGATCAATATCTGTTTGTTTGCTCACCATCTATGATCAGGGCCAATGATTTTCCATACAAAGTTCCCTATCTCACGCACCTCTGACACACAGAATTTCTCTGCCGGATGACATGATCCTCCATAACTTTTTGAGGTTTGACTATTGCTCTCCGACTGGTTCCATAAATTAGCTCTTTAGACCACTTATTGGTTCCCAAGGCTTCGTTGCCTGGGACTTCTCTCACTTCTAACTTTGGCTCTTAAGATCTTAGCATGAGAGGGCTGGACACAGCTCAGTGCTAGAATGCTTGTCTAGCATGTGCAAAGACCTGGGTTCAAGCCCCAGTAACTTAAAAAAAAAAAAAAGATCTTAGCAAAAATCAGAGTCCTAGGCACCTCCATCATCTGGAAGGACAGGGTGGTTGACAGGGTGTGTCAAGTTAGAAGTGCCTATCAGAAATGTTTGGTTCTTGCCAGGTGTAGGGGTACATGCCTGCAATCCCAGCTAATAGGGAGGCTGAGTCAGGACAGTCAAGTTCAAAGCCAGCCTGGGTAACTTAGTGAGACCCTTGTCTCAAAAAATAAAAGGACTGGGGATGTAGCTTAGTGGTAGAATCCCACTGGGTTTAATCCCTAGTATGTTGGGGGGGGGGATTCTTGTGTCCACAAGGAAAAACAAAGTTGGACATAAAGGTTTTGTAGTTGCTGATGCATTGTAAGTAGTAGTATAGATGCCATGAGTGTGGACAAGGCTGCCCAGGTAGAATGGAGTGTCTAGTGGAGGGATCCAAGAGCACCAGAGGAAAGGGTCAGGCAGAGGTATCTGCAATGAAATCTGAGAAGAGCAGCTGGAGAGGCTGGGGTGTAACTAGGAGAGGGAGAGAGGGGCTCTATTAGAAACTTCTAAGGAGGGAGGGGTCACTGTGTCATATGCAGTTGAGAAGTCTAGCAAAACAAGGCCTGAATTAGATTTGACAACTGGGGACTCACTGGGGATCTCAGGAATAGCTCATTAGGTAGCCTGGTGGGAGCAGAAGCAGTGGGTAATCACATGTCCATTATGTTTGGAAACTTACAGAATTTTGGACATCAAAGAAGCATCTCTGGGCTGGGGTTGTAGCTCATGATAGAGCGCTCGCCTAGCACATGTGAGGCACTGGGTTCGATCCTCAGCATCACATAAAAATACATAAATAAAGGTATTGCGTCTAACTACAACTAAAAAAAAAAGTTAAAAAAAAAAAAAGCATTACTGCCCATATTGCTCCCCACCCTGTTTCCACGCATGTTTCTTAGTCAAGAAATCCAAATAAGTTGCTAGTCTGGAGCTGGGGGTGTAGCGCAGTGGTATAGTGTTTACCTAGCATGTGAAAGGCCTGAGAGTCCAACCCCAGCACTGTGCTGGAGTTTGTGCAAACACACACACACACACACACACACACAGAGTCTGAATGAAGAGATCATTTTGGGATCTTAAATACTGCAGATTTTTTTTTTTTTGGTGTGGGGGGGCTCGTGTTCAGTGCTTTCTCACAGTTTACCTTTAGCTAATGAATTTGCAAGCTGGTAAATACTTGAATTGGTTCAACCTAACATAAACTTGGCTTTTTAATGGTCCAACTGGCAACTGGCTGGAGTGAGTAGCGCCACAGCTTCACTTGACTCTCTGTTGAACTCTCCTTCCGGCTATTGCCTCTGGGTCCCTGGTTTTCCTTGGGCTGGGCTAACCTCACTTATTTGTTAGCTTCTTTTTCTTCAGAAGTTTAATTATCAAACAAAACATTTATGGCATATATTTATACCATGCTTCCATGTTTATCTACAAAACACCGACCAATAGCTTGGCCCTGTTGTATACCTGTAATCCCGGCGGCACAGGAGGCTGAGGCAGAAAGACGGCAATTTTGAGGCCAGTCTCAGCAAGTCAGTGAGGCTCTAAGCAACTTAGTAGGACCTTGTCTCGAAAAACAAAACAAAACAAAAAACTAGGAATTTGTCCCAGTGGTTAAACTCCCCTAAGCACATTGCCCCTAGGCTCAATCCCCAGAACCAAAACAAACTAACCAAAAAACTAATCCATTATTTGCATCTCTGAACACCTTCAAGTACATCCCAATTAAACCAAATGCCGTGGGACGCCCGTAGTCCCAGCTACTTGGGAAGCTGAGGCGAGAGGATCACTTGAGTTCAGGAGTTCAGGACCAGCCTGGGCAACAACAGAGCAAAATCCCGTCTAGAAAAAGAAAAAAGAAAATAAAAAAGGAATACCTCAATTATCAAACGGGAAGGGCAGTGGTAAGGCACGTGCGTCCCCTGCCGACTCTCCAGAGCACTGCAGCAGCTTGGGTGCGCAGCCACTCCTAGCCCGGCGGCCTTCTGGGAAAAATAGTAGGATGTTTGAATTAGAACTACAAATCCCGGTAGGCTTCGCGCTGCAGTCCCAAAGATGGCACTTTTCTGGTGAACCTGGATTTTGTTTTCCAGTGCTGTTGGGGTAGCTGCACAAGCTTGGTTCAATGTTAAAAAGAGTCTTTGGGGAAACATGTTAGCTCTCTCGCAGGGGTGCAAAGGCCAACCTTTGCTTCCACAGCTTCATCCATTTGGCGAATCTGCTGTTCTTTTCGCTGGCTGGCTTCTCAGGGGCCTGACGGGAAGTTTGTGGAATCTGCTGTGGAAAGAACGACACGAGGGTGTCTTAGGCAGCCACTGTCATGGCGGCGGCCGCCCCAAAGGCCGGGGGCTCCGTGCCTGAGGCGGGGGGTTCCGCTGAAGCCCCCTTGCAGTACAGCCTTCTTCTGCAATACCTGGTGGGAGACAAGCGTCAGCCCCGGCTCCTGGAGCCTGGGAGCCTGGGCGGAATCCCGAGTCCGGCCAAGAGTGAGGAGCAGAAGATGATCGAGAGGGCGATGGAAAGCTGCGCCTTCAAGGCAGCGCTGGCCTGCGTGGGAGGTGAGACGAGGCTTGTGGGGCCCTCGGGAGGCTGAGGGCTCGAAGGGCCTTGGGGTTCTCGGCCAAGAAGACCACATGCCTAGGAGGCGAGCGACCTGTGTGCCTCGACCCTGACTGCACTCGCGCCTGGTCCAGTGAACTCGGGTATTTCCTCGCCTGACCCTGAGGTTAGCTTTCTCCGGTGGAAATTGAGTCCGAGAATCAGTACTAAGGGGCAGGGCCTGCAGGTTATAAAATGCGCCACTTCGTTCAATTCATTTAATCATTAATTCAACAAGTTATAAGCAACTGACTTCTGCCGGGCGGTGGGGTGCTAACATTTTACTCCTGATACTAACATTTTACTACGTAAAGAGAAGAATGTTGAGAAGGAGGCTGGCAGAAGAGTGCTGAAAACACAGGGAACTGCAAATCCACTGGTCCTTAAGGCAGGAACTGCCACGAGCTGCTGCGTGCGCGGGGAGCAGGGAGGGAAGATGGCTTTTTTTTTTTTTTTTAAGGTATTTATTTTTTAGTTGTAGTTGGACACAATACCTTTATTTCACTTATTTATTTTTTATGTGGTGCTGAGGATCGAACCCAGTTCTCGTACTTGCAATGCGATCGCTCTACCGCTGAGCCACAACTCCGGCCCAAGGGAAGGTGGCTTTTTAAGAAAAAAATTGACTTCTGAGTATTTGAGCATGTACAGCATACCTCCTGTGTGCTGGTAAAGAGGCTGATTGCATATTTGCAGAAGAGTTTGAATCTTACTGGGAACAAAAGACATTTAAGAAATGAGTAGTGGGCGAGTGCAAATTTTAAAAAGTGAAATATATTAGAAAGAAAAGAGATCTTTTTGGAGCTGGGGCCACTTGAAAGAAAGAGCCATAAGCTGGGCTGGGGTTGTAGCTCAGTGGTTGAGCGCTTGCCTAGCAGGAGTGAGGCACTGGGTTCCATGCTCAGCACCACATAAAAATAAATAATTAAAGGTATTTTTAAAAAGAGCCATAGCAGGAAATCTGGGAAGGGAGGAGCCCAAGATTTCTTTGAACTTACATTGATTCTGAGATGGTGAGAACACATCTGTATGGAAGTGTCCTGCAGCTCAGGAAGGTTGCATAGGAATAGCATTTTGGGATCAGCTGTTTGGTAGCTATGTGGTCTTGGGAAAACTTCTTAACTTCTTGAGAGTGGCAGAATCATGAGCAATGTTAGGAAATGAAAGGAGGCAGAAATGCTAAAGGAGACAGAAGATAGATCCTGAATTGTGTAATATGGAGGCAAGTGGAGAGTGTTAGTGACTAGTGCACTAGTGGCCATGGAAAAAGTCATCTTTTTGATCCCAAACAGTAACCCCGAAAACATACCCAAGAAATCTTCATCTCTGTTTTTAGGATTTGTCTTGGGAGGTGCATTTGGAGTTTTTACTGCTGGCATTGATACCAATGTAGGCTTTGACCCTAAGGATCCTTACCGTACACCGACTGCAAAAGAAGTTCTCAAAGACATGGGACAGAGAGGATTATCCTATGCCAAAAATTTTGCCATTGTGGGTGCCATGTTTTCCTGTACTGAGTGTCTGGTAGAATCTGTAAGTGTCTCTCTGCTTTCTGAGAAATCCTTACCAGCTGCTGTCTCACAAGTGATCTGTCACTGAGTTACATTCCCCAGCCCAGTTAATGATTTTGAACATTTTAATTTATTGGACCTGGGTATGGTGGTGCATGCTTGTAATGTAATCCCAGCTACCCTGGAGGCTGAGGCAGGTAGAACACAAGTTCAAGACCAGCCTGGGTAATTTAGCGAGACCCTGTCTCAAAATAAAACATAAAAAGGGCCAGGGGTCTAGCCCAGTGCTGGAGTGCCCCTGGGTTTGATCCCCAGTGCCCCCTTCCCTCACCCTCGCCCCACAAAGACATTTTGGAGAACCTGAAAAAAATTTTGGTTACTTCTCAAATACTGGACTTGATTACAGTGCTCTAGTGCCACCTGCAGGAAGCATCTATGGATACATTTAAATTTTAGAAACTATACTTTTAAAAAGGTTTCCTTTGGATAGTAACTAAATTAGCCAACTGGAAGTCCTGTGTATTTTCTGGCTTGTTTCTCTGGCTTGACCTGCGCTTCTGCCCCCACAGTACCGGGGCAGATCAGATTGGAAGAACAGTGTCATCAGTGGCTGCATCACTGGAGGAGCCATTGGTTTCAGAGGTTAGTAAACAACTCTCAAATGGTTTTCCTTTGTGGCCTTGGCCAACGTGCTGATGTTGACATTTCCAAGTATGAGTGTTCCAGGGACACTTGATATTCTTCTGACAAATAGATCTTGACTGCTTCTGTGTTAACCCAGTTTTGGAACTTGCTATTATCTCTATCAGGGTTTCTCATCCTTGGCCTTTGGACCAATAAATCTTTGCTGTGACCGGGGGGTCAATCCTGTTCATTGTAGGATGTTTAGCAAGATGCAGCAGCACTGCTTCAGTTGTGACAATGACAAGTGTTTCCCAATGATGCCAAAAGTCCCTTGGGGGGCACATCACCCTCACTAAGAACCATTGATCCAGTCTATCTTAGAAAAAAGAACTGCCCCCTTATTAAGTATATCCAGCAACTTTCTCATATAGGTAAGTTGGAGTTTTTTGGTTTGCAGGATAGTACAGAAGCATAGCTAAGTCCACTCAGCCCTGGAAAACCCGTTTGTCCACGTGTGCAGGCCATGCTGAACTTTTAGCTCCAGTCATTTTTAATGTTTACCCATTATTCTTAATTTTAGACAGTTGTCAGTTGTATTTTTGTTTTGTTATGCTTTGCAGTTCTGGGGACAAACCCAGAGCCTTGCTAGGCGTGTACTCTTCTAATGAGGTATTTTTCCAGTCCCAATTATCAGTTTTAATTTTATATCTAAATCATAATGGTAATGTTGTTCTGCAATTGAGGATTCTTAGAATTCTTCCCATTGAAAGCTAAATATAAACATTCTAGAAATGTTAGATTATCAACTGTAAGCAACAAAGGAACAAACTGATCCCCACCATTTCTCTCTGTTAGCATGCTCATCGAGTGTGTGGTGCAGACCTCAGGGACTTGAGTTTCCTAGAAGCAGTATCTATTGCTGGGCCACTCTCCATCATTCACACCCTGACTTATCTGGAGCAAAAGCCTCTCATCTTCTGAGAGTCGGGATGATTTGCTGTCATTAAAGTCTGAATTTGCTCTTCACATAGCCATATGTAATTTATAGAGTGACTTTTCTTTTGGTCTTCTTGTTGCTTAGCTTGTCAGGGCCTCTGTGAGAAGCTCAACTCCCTCCAGGACTGCTTTGATCACCTTCCCAGGAATTTATTCCATAAACAGATAGGGTAAAAGGCCATATGCTTTCATTTGATTCCAAGGGCTGGTTCTTTTAACCAGTTTCCTGCCTTTGAGGGGCTATTTCCATAAGACTAGAAGTAGTAATTCTTTGGAATGAGAAAAGTTAAGTTAAATAAAACACAAAGACTTAAATCTTTTTTGGTACCAGGGATTAAACCCAGGGGCACTTAACCACTAAGCCAATTTCCCAGACAATTTTTTGTATTTTATTGAGAGACAAGGTCTTACTAAGTCGCTTACGGCCTTACTAAGTTGCTGAGGCTGGCTTTGAACTCGCGATCCTTCTGCTTCAGACTCCTAAACCGCTGGGATTATAAACATGAGCCACCCAGCCTGGCTGGTGTACATCTTACATGCTTCTTCACTGAAATTTTTTTTTAATTCTTTTTTTTTAAGTTGTAGATGTACATAATGCCTTTATTTATTTATTTTAAAAATATTTTTTAAGTTGTTGATAGACCTTTTTATTTTATTTGTTTATATGTGGTGCTGAGAATCGAACCCAGCACCTCACACATACTAGGCAAGTGCTCTACCGCTGAGCCACAACCCCAACCCTTCACTGAAGTTTTATAGAGCCACTGTAGGTTGAATGAGAATATTTAAGCTGGTTTCTCTGCATCTGTGGGTATATAAACTTTTTGTGAATGCATCCTGACCCAGCATCTGTTACCACAGGTAAGGTAATATTACTTCTGTTTGCTTTACAGCTGGCTTAAAGGCTGGGACCATTGGTTGTGGAGGTTTTGCTGCTTTCTCTGCTGCAATTGATTATTACCTACGGTGAGAGTAATTGCCTGTGGGGAAGGAGGACGCCAGCCCAGGATTAAAGCTGTTTTCCGGAGGAGAGTTTCTGTACCACTTGGCACTTGCTTCAGGGGCTGAAGACATTTGTTTTCCTTCATATAGTTGGTGTTTTGAGGGAGCCTCCTGGCTGTTCTCTGTCTCTAGCAGTCAGAGCAACCACACTCTGTGCTGCTCCTGGATTCCAGCCAGCCTTTTCAGGGGATGGCTATGCCAGATTGTCTCCTTGGAGCCTTCAGGAGACATTGTGTTGACTGTTAGGAATTAAACTCCACAAAGGCTCAGTCCTAACCACATCCTGTCCTCTGGGTTATGGGCATGGAGGTGGCAGTATGTTCATATATACCCAGGAAGCTCCTTTGCCTTGGAACACCGTGCAAGCATTCATCTCGCATGCCAGGGCAAGGCAGAGTAAATTCATGCCATTCAACCAATTATGTCATTTTGTTTTGTTTAGTGTTCTGCCATTCTTGTTAAAAGTATATATATATTTATATTACAGTTTAAAGGTTGGTTTATTTTTATTTTCAAATTCCACAGTTCTCAAAAATGATGGTAGGCAGTTCAAAGAGTGACAATCCAGTGGGAAAGTGTGACAAAACTCCTGAGAAATCTAGGACTGTTGGATTTTCAGGGTTTGTGTGGACTGGGTCATCTCCACCAGGATCATTAGTTTGGCCAGAAAGCAGCCCTCTCTCCAGGAGCCTAGTCTAGCTGCTTTCTAGGATGCACTGAAATTCCTTGTGTGACTCCCTCTGGCCACTTCACAGAAACCCTCCAGGGCTGGCTGATAGGCATGCCTGCAGTTTGCTGAACCACACGTTGGTTTCAGGCCCAAGCCCAGCTCCAGGACACATGTGGAGGGTCCTACTGTGGTCATCCTGATGACTCAGTCACAGCAGCTACTGGCTAAGGCCAGACATGGTAGAGGGGCTACTCATTGCTGCCCCTGTTCTCCACTATCAGTGGATATTTTGTTTTTGACCTCATGGTCTTATGCTGACAGTAGCAACTCAGCCTCATTGTGTGCTGTGGAGGCACACACACACAAATATATATAAAATATGCACACACACATGTGTAAATGGTTTTTTTGTGGTTGGCCTCCACTGCTGTGCTGTTTTGCTCTGGTGCAGTAGTGGAGTAGAGCCGATGAACTCTTGGGCTTTACCTCTTGGAGGAACAGGCAGGTAGGCTCAGTGGGGGCCACATAGTGCTGGCTGCCTTTTTCCTGTACTGTAGCTCCTCCACATTTTCCCCCCTTTTCTTTCTCATTTGCTGTCTTCTATCCTACCCACCCTTAACTAGAATCAGAGACTCAGCTTCAACATCCAAGCATCCCTAGTGTGTATTTGTGTTATGTCAAAGGATAGCTGGTGACACCTTCTTTTAGCTGTTTCCTTTCAATGAATGTAAGCTAGTACATAGGGCTTCTGTCCTCTGTGGTGAATTCTATGTGATACTTGCCTCCTTATAAGCATGAAGCTGTATCATCACTAGGCCGTTGGGAGCATTCCTCAGAGCTCTGGGAACAAATTTAGGAGTCCCTGGGTTCAATCCCCAGCACTCAAAACAAAAACAAATTTAGGAGTGTTTCCTGTACTGTCCCTAAATATTTCAAACCTAGGACTATTCTGAAGCAAGGGCAGTCAGTCCTACCCGGTACCTGTCAAAATGCTCAGATGCCTGGGATCTTCTATCAGCTAGTCTTGTGCATGGTATTGAGTACAAGAAATGCTGCCCTCCCAATTGACTTGGCAAAGATGAGCCTGGAGGATGTCAGTAGCCATCAGTTCAATAAGCCAAGCCTTGTCCACACTGACTATTCAATCAAGAGAGGAGATGAATAGCTTCCTGTTTTAGATGACTAGGGAGCCAGTATGAGCTCATAAACCAAACAGCAATTTTCAGAGACATCTGTTCTTGATCTCCAGAATAAACACAGTATCCAAGGGCATAAGCTGGTGGGAGCGTACATTAACCAAAGGAGGGTGGGCCCTCTGGGGGATACAGCTTCTCCAACAAGCAGATTAGACCAAAAGACTGACCCAAAGACATGCCACTTCCAAGGAAATTGCAGAGAAAAATTATCGAAAACCAGTGGACAACTAATGGTCATCTCTCTGAGGTACATTGATGGCCAGGTCAGTAGTTAGACATGAAGAGGACTGCAGCAGCCTGGTCCAAAGGGAGGTCTTTGTGTCGAGCAAAGAGAGGGCTGGCTTATTGCCCCCACACTCTGTCCTGGCTCCCAAAAGGAAGGTTCAAGGACAGATAGCTAGGTAAACAGGTTCCTAGAAATTCACATCTGGATGCAGCTGGAAGTGTTAAATATTTAGATTGGTGGTCTTCCCTGGACTACTGAGAACACAAACATCTACACCACAGGGCTGAGTTTTGTGCAAATGTTGGGGCTTTGCATTTTTTTTTATTAACATTTTCCTTTCACATGGTTTACATCAATTTATAATAATCTACATAAATTGAAACAGAACAGAGACAAAAAAATATATCCTTACCAACTTATTAAAGTCAAATATTAATGAAGGGTCCCATCCTACCTCTATCAGCAAAACTGGCAGCCCTCACCCATTGCCCAGCAAGGACAGGCATCCCTGGGACTCCTGTAGCCTGTCCCTTCGAGTCCTGTTGGCACAGGCTGCCCTGCTAAGTACAGTGACTGGGGGTTCTGGGCTGCAGTCCCTGGCTCAGGAGAACCCACCAGGTATTTATTTCCTCGGTGCAGCTTAGTCCATGTCTGGCACCCGACCCTCCCCACTCAGTGGAATTTATAAATATTATAAGCCTTTTGCATTTCTCAGCTCTTCCAGCCTTCCTGTTTTCATATTGCCTAAGCAAGCTGGGGGCTGCAGTAGCTGCCTGACACTGAAAAGCAAACATTCTGTATTTGGGGGAGGCAGGAGACACCCATTTGGGCTGTAATTAGCTCTAGCTGGGCCTCTAATTTGTAACTGACAATCTTCTGGAAGCAAGAATCTTCCATACCACATACCAACAAGTGCCAAGCGGAGACTTCAGGAATGGTCAGATGGTGGGATCTTTTCCTTCACTTGCCCCAGGGAGCAGGGCTCCTTGGTAAGCTGCTAACAGGCAGCTGAATGGTCAGCATTTCCCTATTCCAGCGTGAAGAGTATACTGTTCCACTGGCGACAGGTATAAAGTAGATCAGGAAGGCCCCTGCCTCTCTCCAAGCAAGTACTCCTGCTTCAGGGCCAACAAACCCTTTAGACTTACCCCTGAGCAAGAGCAGTGGGAGCTGTTTTCCCTAATCCTAAGAGCCTAGAATGGCCGCTGGCACATAGAAAAGCCAGGGAGTTGTGCAAAGGTTCAAGCCCCTTTTGCTGGCACTTTGGGAATAAATATTACTCCTTTCCAGTACTGAGCAATGGGTCTCAAAGTTGGGAATGGCACCTCTTGATCCCCTGCAGTGTCAACAATGAGGTTCCCCAGCAAAACCCAGTCCCAAGAGAGGCAGGTGCCTGTGATTCTTCATCCTCTAATTTCTGGGAGTTTCCAGAGTTCATCCACAAAGCTGCATCTAGAAGCTGGGGCAAGGGCAGCACCGTGATGGCTGGCAACTGCTGGATTGTGCCTTCCTTTCCCAGGGTCTGGAGCGCACGTGGCAGTTGGGGCTGCCCCGTGGCAGTGCTCGGCTGTGGAGAGTGTAAAATCTAAGGCAAAAGTACCACGAGGTATGTGAGGTGCCAGGCAGCCTCCGAGATGGAGCCTGCATGCTTCTGGACACCTGCACCAGCCACAGAAGTTGCCCTCCAGGAAGCCTGGCTCCATCAGGAAAGCCTCTGTAACTCACTGCCAAGTGCAGCTTCCCCGCAACTCAGGCCAGTGCTGACTGTTCCACCTGGCTTGTTTCCTCAGCAGTCTGGACTCTCCTACCTCCCCGGACGCCTTCCTGACCCTCTGGCTCTCTTGATAGCAGGTCACTTGTGGGTCTTTATACTCAAAGGAAATAGAACTCCAGGGGGAAAAAACTGAAAATTCAGCAGTAGAAGAAACAGTCAAAGACGCCTCACTGCTAAGCAGGAGACAGAGCAGACAAACCCCAGAAATCAGCCCTCCAGCTCTGTGCTAAAACGTGGGATTAGTGTGAGTCTGTCTCCTTGTCCAACATTTGCACAGGCAGCAAGGCAAGCAGGTGTGCTCCCACAGTGGAGGGTGGGGAGAGGCCCAGGGCAGTGCATTGGATAGGCCACCACTGCTGCCCAGGACCTCTGCAGAACTTTCCAGGTGTTTGGAGCAAAAACTGAAGCTGCACATGCATGTGGCCGGGCTGGGACAGAGGCAAGGGTGGAGGACACTGAGGGGAGGCTACAGTCTAGGAGCAGGGCCAAGAAAGGAGAAGCTGGTGGCAGCTACAGAGTGCCAAATAAAAGCCCTTGGACTGGACTCAGGAGGAAAGAAAGGCTTGGGGGAAATGAAAGAATAAAGCAGGCTGTGTGCCCACACATGGTCGGTCACTACCTTTTCTGCATGACAGATAGACATTAAACAATTCCCAAACAGCACGGAGCATTAGACACAACTAGAGGTACAGAGGGCAGGAGCCGGGGCTGGCGGTGAGGCTGGGGGCTGGTCAGCTGGCTTTGTACAAGGTGGCACAAAAGATGCACATATTCCAGTTCTTGGAAGTTGGCTTCCCTTGGAGTCTGGAGTGCTGGGCTGGGGAGTTTCTATTGCAGTCTTTCAAGTCTGTGTTGGGCTCTGGCTGGAGGGGCTGGCTCTGGCCACCCCCCACAGCCACCCCTCCTCGGGCTACACATCAGTGGAAAAGTACAGTGTGTTCCGCTTCAGTTCTGCAAAGGAGATGGGGGGGTGCTGCAGGTAGTAGAGGAGGACCTGCACCTGTGGGGAGACAGGAGAGACTAAGGTTGGAGTCCTTGTCTTCCTGGCCCTCCTCATCTGATCTGTTGAGAAGAAAAGGTCCCTGGGCGGGGGACGGGGGCGTGGTGGGGGGAGTCTGTGTTGCCCCCTGCCCTCCCAAGGATGGCTTTGGCCACCTCCTGAAAGCCACACCTTCCTTTGAAGCCCAGGTGTGTTAGTCCATTATAGCACTAGAGGGCGCTGCAGGACAGAGGGTGGGGAGTCTAGAGCCACTTCCCCAATCTCAGTCATAAGGTCAAACCTGGGCCTGAGGTCAGCTTGGCATCTCTGCCCTGATCTGGTCTGTGTCTCAGGGAAGCCTCCTGCCCCTGATAGAAATCCCAGGATTCTCCTATATTCCTGGGCTTGTTTTCTGAGACTGAGGCCCTCCCAGGAAAGCAGGCAGCACCTAGGACAGATATTCTCTGGGCCCTTGTCTAGCTCACATGTTTCGGCCTGGAAGGGCAGGACTGTCCACAGCTCTGCCTTCCTGGTGGTGTCATATACACCAGCTGCCCAGGAGGAGAGAGGTGTGGAGACTTAGCTGTTTTCGCTACCCCTCCACCTGGGCAGTGCTGAGGTACCTGTGCCATGACATCATGGGACCAG